ATATAAAAATATAAATATATGTTTATATATACATTAAATATATTTATATTCCTATATATTTTTATGTTTTATTTATATTTACTTATGATAATTAAGCAGCTTCAATAGATTCAGTAACTGATCCAATTTAGTTTACTTTTAATAAAAGGGCATTACATGCTTTTTTATCAATAGCTTATTTTACTCTAATAGGGTTAGTTACTAAGAGATCATCTCCTACTATTTATACGTTTTTTCCAAATAGTTAAGTCATATTAGCATATGAATCCCAGTCATCTTAATCAAATGGATCTTCGACTGATTAAATTGGGTAATCTCTAATGAAAGAAGAGTAGAGATCAGTCAATTATTTTCCAGTAAGACACTTACTTCCATCATTATTAGGTGTCTTGAAGTCTAAGTCGTAAACTTTTTTTTCTGGATTCCAGAATTCTGAGGCTGCAACGTCCATTCCGATGACTACTTTTCCTGTATGACCTGCTTTTTCAATAGATTCCATTAATAAATCTAGTCCATCTCTATTTTCTTAAATATTGGGTGCAAAACCACCCTCATCACCTACATTAGTGGCATCCAAACCGTATTTTTTTTGGATTACTTTCTTTAAAGTATGATATACTTCGGCTCCTACTTGTAAAGATTCTTTAAAAGAAGTTGCTCCTACTGGTAAGAGCATAAATTCTTACATAGCAAGCTTGTTTCCGGCATGTTTTCCTCCGTTTATGACATTTAAGGAAGGTACAGGCATTATGAATCTATTTTATTTCTTACCAGATAATTTTCCTAAATATTAATATAAAGGAAGACCCTTTTCAGCAGCACCAGCACGAGCTAAAGCTAAAGAAACACCTAAAACAGCATTAGCACCGAGATTACTTTTGCACCAGCCATATTGATTTTTTGAGCCATCGAGTTATTCAATCATGTATCTATCTATTTTTTCTTATTCTGTAACGTTTTTACCTATTAAACCTTAACGAATAGTATTATTTACATTATTTACGGCTTTTAATACACCTTTACCTTAATATCTTAATATATGAAAATATATAAATGTTTTATGTTTATAAATATATATAAATAAATAAGTATATATGTATATATTTATATTTATATTTATATTTATATTTATATATATATATTAATATTAATATATTAAAATAGCCTATATTTATTATAATTATTTACCTTTTTTTGTCTCCATCACGTAATTCTAAAGCTTCATATATACCAGTTGAAGCCCCAGAAGGAACAGCGGCACGAAAAACACCTTTTTAAGTTGTAACTTCGCATTCTATAGTGGGGTTACCACGTGAATCAAGAATTTCACGGGCATGGACGTTTGTGATTGAAGAGAAATTGTATAATTATTTATTTTATGAGAGGATATTTTTACATATTTTTGAAATCATTTGTTTTTATTTTTAATGATTTTTTTTTAATTGTATTATTTGTAATTATTTGATTTTATTTAATTTAAAAAAAGGAAAAATATATTTATTTATTGTTAAATAAAATTTATATTTATTAATACGTAAAATATTATAAAAAAATTAAAAATATATTATATAATAATTATTAGATTTTTATAAAGTTTTATATTAATATATATTACTTAATAATTTTTATACATTAGAAATTAGTAAAAAAAAAAATATAAATAATAAAAAATGAAAAATAAATCAATAAATAATAAGAAATATATAAAATAATATAAATGTATATGTATTTATATAATTATATATAAATTAATGTATAAATAAATACTTTTTATTTTTAAAATATATATATATATATATATATATATATATATATATATATATATATATATTATTTACAAATAAATAAAGATTATTCAAAAAAAATATATTAATGTTATTCATATCATATTTAAATATTTATATATAAAAAAATTGGTTATTACAAAAATTTTATATTTTATATATAAAAATGGAAATAAAATAAGTATTTGCATAATTATTATATTAATTTAAAATTTAAATACAGTAATAAAATTCATGAAAAAATAAAAATATAAATATAATAATTATATTTATATATATATATTTTTAATTATATAATATTTTTTACATATATATAAATATATATATATATATATTTATATATATATATATTATTTTTATCTGTTTATTATTTTTTTAATATTATAAATATATAAATTTAATTATTAAAAGATACTATATTTAATGCTAAAAATATAAATAAAAATTATTTTTTTTATATATCAAAATTAAAAATATATTTTAAATTTCAATATCCTTCATTATTCCAAAAAAAATTATCTTTCGGATAATTTATATAATTTTTAGCAATATATAAAGCAGTTTCATGTTTTGCTTATCCAAAACTTTACGAATATCCGTATATAGTTAATTTTTGATCTTATAAATCATTTTATATCCTACCTCCTCCTACACATTTAAAATAAATTTAATTTTCTTTTAAATTAAATTAAATTTCATTAACTTAATAATTGAAATTTTAAATTTCCGTTATATTAGATGTTAGATTTTATGAAAATTCATCAAATATATCAGCATGATAAGCCTTTCTTTTTGTCCCTCTTACAAAATAATATTCATTTGCATTATTTATTTAACATTTTATTAAAATATATTTAAATCTTCCATTGCTATCAATTTCAAATTAAGGTATTAATTTAAAAAGTTCTTCTTAATTATTTATCATATTATTTTTATAAATTTTTAACTTTTTTTTTTTTTTTTTATTAAAATTTTTACTATGAAAAAAAAATAAAAGAAAAAAAAAAATAGTTTTTTTGTTTTCTAATTTATTCATCCTTGTAAAATATTAAAAATAGATTATAAAAATAAAATATTATAATACATTAAAAAAAAAAAAAAAAAAATTAGAAAAAATAAAAAAATATGAGAATAAACACTTGTTTATTTCGAATATTATTTACTATAAGTAATAAAAAAATATAAAAATTAATTAATAAATCTATAAAAAGTTTCTATTATCATATAAATAATATAAGCATAAGTAGATTGTAATACATTAAATGAATAATTAATATTAAATATTCAATCTGGTTAAATTTGTTATTTTACATAATGGGATTCCACATAAATATTAGATGAAATACGAATTGATGGAACATTAATAATAGATAATAGATTATAATAGACAATACATTTAAAATTTAAAAAGCTAACATTTTCTACTACTACTGTTATATAAATAAATGCCTAATATTATTAAATAATATTTGCTTAAATAGGAGATTGTGATACAACAGAAAAAATTTCATTATAAAGTCTAAACATAGTCTCACCTATAATAAATGAATATACAATCGCTGAGAATGTTAAAGCGAATACTAATTATATATATATAGAGGATTTTCCTTAATATATTTAAATAAATTCAGAAATTTTCATTGTAGCGGTAACTTCAACATAAAAAAATTAAAATGAAGTATTAACTGTTAAAGAAGTTAAAGGAAAAAAAATAATTTTTAATGAAAAAATAAAATATAATTACAATAAATAAGATTATTTTATGTATTCTTAAAATACAGAATCTTTAAAATTAAAAATTAACAATTTAAAAGATTATTTCGTTACATTTATAAAGTATTTATATATATATATATATATATATATATATATATATATATATATACATATATATATTATTATATACATTTTCTTTTTATTCTTTTTATAGTTTATGCTTTAATTTTATAGTCACAGATATTATTGGTGTATCTTTTTTAAATATGTAGAGTATTAATATACCTTCTGGAAAAATAAAAAATTGTCTTTTTTATGATGAAAAATCTATAAATACTTCCTTTTTATTTAATACTAGTATTATTTCTGAAAGTTTTTTCATAAATATTTAAAGGAATATATTTATTTAATAACAAGATCAAATCGGAAGGGCTTTTAAGAATAGTTTCTATAATTATAAAGGTGATATTACACTTCGATAGAATTTTATGATAAGGCAAGTTTTTTTGAATTGTTAAATCACTTTTTTGTAGACTTTGACAATTAACTCGCGTTTATTTTATAATTATTATATAAACTCAGTTGTTAAATTAGATCCTAAAATTAAAAGTCTTGAAAATAGTCAGTGTTTTATCGTAAACAGTCAATTATTTGACAATTCTTAGTAAATAATGGACAGAATCTCTTTTTAATCGAACATTATTATAGGTTAAACTGTAAATATACCCTAAACTAGTATACAGACTTTAATTTAAGAAAACAAATTTTTTACAAATGTGAATTTATTTGCTATTTTAATATAAATCCAACAAAAAAATAAGCCATTTACTCTCAGTTTATTAAATAATTACTTCTTTGATTTTTATAACCAATAAAAATGCTTCATTTCAGCCATAGATTAAGCCAGTAATTTAATACCTCTCACAAATACTAAAGATTTAGGCACTTTATCCATCTCTATAAACACTTTTTCGAACATTCCAAACTATCGTACGACTAATACTTCCCCATGCACCCTATGTAGCAGCCTAACTACGAAAACTAGCCAATGTTTCGAGTGTAATTCAAACTAGGCTTTTTCGAGCGAAAAAAATGCCTGCATGAACTGCCCTTAAGGGTGCTAGAATTGCTTAAGGGAAAAAGTTGGGAGTAATCTGGAGATTTTTAAGTGCTATAGATGCCAGAAAGGCTATTTTTAAGATAAGAAAGGAGAATGTGTTTAGTAGACTTTTTTTTATTCAGATTATAGTTAATGTTTTGACTCTGAAATTTTCATAAATGATTAGTGTGATTAGTGTAGTTTTTAGTGTTTTTAATGTTCTTAAAAAGCTACAAAGTGTACTTAGTGTAGTATTAATTATTTACTATAAAATAATGGAGTTTGTGCTCTTTGTCCAGAATTTTAGTTCAATTATTTCGGAGTTTGTACTAAATGTCATCCTTAATGTCTGTTTGGATGTAAGGGTCCTTTCAAAGAATAATGTTATAAATGTAAAGAAGGAGAATATTTTTTACAGGAAAACGGATCGTGTGTGCCCAAATGCCCCAGAGGGTATTATTAGGGAAATAGGAAGTGTATAGAATGCATATTAGGAGACGAAAAATATCGTCCTAGGTGTTTAAAATGTGTATAAACGTCACTTTGTGATATTTGTGATGCGGATATTAATATCTGTGAAGTATGTAGGGAAGGTATATTTATAAAAGAGGGGAAATGTTATGAGAGTTGTCCACGAAAAACTTACTAAAAAGAAAAATAATGTATAGATTGTCAAGAGAAAGATTAATTAACTAAAGAAAGCTGTAAACCTTGTGAACATCCAAAATGTATTTAATGTGACTTAAAAAACATAAGCATATGTCTTAATTGTTCTTTTGATTCATTTTTAAACTGGGAAAATACTTGCGTAGATGTGTGCGAAAATCTATACTATGAGGACTTAGAAACACGTGTATGTAAAAAATGTAGTCCAGATGATGCTTTTATAATAGAAAAATGCCAAGTATGTACATAAAAACTATGCAGGGATTGCTTAGAAGATAATAATATTTGCACAGGGTGTTTTTAAAAATATTATATTTATTAAGGTACATGTGTAAAGGATTGTCCCCCGAAAACATACTCAGATAAAAATAATGTCTGTAAAGCATAAACAAATGTACCTGTACCAGATAAACCAATTTAAAAACCAAGTATTCCATTACCACCACCACCACCGCCACCACCACCACCACCAAAACCAACATAAACAAATAATGATAATAATAATAAAAATAATACAAATAATAATACTAATAATAATTAAAATATAAATAATAATTAATCTACTATTAATGTAAATAAGAATGGTAAATATATATATATAATTATATATATATAATTATATATATATATATATATATATTTATTTATATATATATTTATTTATAATATTTAGATTAAGTTATTAAATAAAAAGAAAAAACTTTTCCATTAATGTAGATTATTTTAATTGTTATTGGAATTTTTATTTTATTTGTAATTATTTTTATTGTATATAAGTTTTTGTCTATTAATAATATTTCTGGTTTGAAAATGAATATTGTTTTTCCTGAATAGAAAAAAGTAGAAACAGATAATGGCACTTAAAGTTAAAAGGCAAATACAGTCGATATTGATTTAAATAATTAGGCTATATTATTTAAAAATTGAATAAAATAACTTGTTTAAAAATTATTATTTCAAATAATATATATATTTATATATATATATATATATATAAATATTTATATATATATATATTCTTTTAAAATAAATATCAATAAAATATATATATATATTTTTAATTGTACATAATAATATTTAAATCATTTTTTTTTTTATGTTAAGATTATAACAAAAAAATAATTAATTTTTTAAATATATAATTTTTTTATAATATAATAAACTATTTAATATATTTATATTATAATATTCAATTATTTTTAAATAAATGATGCTAGGAAGAGGTGCTGCAATGTTAATGTTAGCTAAAAAAAATAAAGATAAGGATAAGAATTGTTTTTGGTCGAAATTTCATATTGATACATTAAAAAATATACATAAATCATCATCTTTAGTGTATTAATAGTATCCTATATCTATTTTGTTATTTGGTTTTAGTTTTATTTTAATGGGTTTATTGATATTTTTTTTGGAAGTATTTCATCATCATTTTTTTCTGGATGATATTTCTAGTTTATCATTTAGTCAAAAAATTATTTTTGGGCTAATTTTAATTGGTGTGGGCTTAATTTTCCTTTATTTTGGGGAAAAAGAAGAAGTAAGAATTAATAATAAAGACGAAATTCTTTTTGTAGAAAAAGCAAACGTTTTCGGAGTCAAATTTATAGAAGGAAGATAATTGAAATTGCTAAAAGACATTTAAATAGTTAAAAAAGGATTAGAAAGCTTCAATGAGTATTCTATTTATTATTAATTAAGATTCGTTTTCGATGAAAAGGAAAATGACTTGGATTGTATTGAATGTAGAGATTATATAGATATAAAAAAAAAATATATTCGTATATGTATTTATTTAAATAGAGGTGATAAATATATATATATATATATATATATATGTATATATATATATATATTTATATATATATATATTTATATATATATTTCATTATTTCATTATAGGATCTTATAATGATAATGAAAAAGTTTAATTTATTGATGAAAAGTGCTGTTACTTTAGATTGGAAAATAAAAAAATTAAATAAAAATTAAAAATTTTAGGAAAAAAAATGGCAAAAAGAAATAAATTTATTTTAAAAAAGATTAGTATTGAAAAATTTAAATAAATATAATATAATTTTTTATTTTTTATTTTAAAAATAATATTTTAATTTTAGTTTTTCTAATGATTTTTTTAATAAAAAGGATTTAAATATAAATAAAGTAAATGAATATGCAATTTAATTTATATACATATTTTTAAAAACTTATTTAATAAAAATAGCTCTAAATATTTTTATTTTTAAGTAAATTAAATATTATATTGATTTATAAAAAATATAATATATTTAATTTATAAAAAACTATATAAAGCAAATATCTAATTCATTATAAATATATTCTTAAAAATATATTTTTTTATAATAATATTTAAATTAAAAATATTTATTATTATTTTTGCCAATAATAAATATTTTTATTTAAATAAAACATAACAAAAAATATTTTTATTAAAAACATTTATTTAATATTATTTTTTATTATAATTAAATAATATTATTAAAATATTTTAATATTCAATAAATTGATATATATATTTATTATAATAAGAAGTAAATAATTATATTAAAATAATAAAGGAATGTCCAAAATTTTCAAAAGATAAAAAAAAATTAAACTATAAAATTTTTAAATAAAAAAAAAGTTAACCTTTAATATAAAAAAAATATATAAAATAAAAAGATTTTTTTATATAAAGGTTTTATATATAAAATTAATTTACAAAAAAAAAAAAAAAAAAAAAAATTTAAAATACAAAAACATGTATTTAAGAAATATCTTAAAATCAACTCAAAATCTCCTAACACAATCCCCAAGTTTTAATTTCGCTAAATTCGTGCGTAGTAAACCTCACTTAAATGTAGGAACAATAGGTCATATAGATCATGGTAAAACAACTTTAACAGCTGCCATAACAAAGATTTTAGCCCAAAAGTAACAAGCAACATTTATGGAATATTCTTAAATAGATAAAGCTCCAGAAGAAAAAGCACGTGGTATTACCATTAATACTGCCACAGTTGAATATGAAACAGAAACACGTCATTATGGTCATGTAGATTGTCCAGGACATATTGATTATGTAAAAAATATGATTACAGGAGCAGCTAAAATGGACGCAGGAATATTAGTTTGTAGTGCAACTGATGGTGTAATGCCATAGACAAGAGAACACATATTATTATGTAGATAAGTAGGTGTAAATACAATTATAGTTTTCGTAAACAAATGCGACGTGGCTAAAGATTCAGAAATTCAAGAATTAGTTGAAATGGAAGTGCGAGAATTACTCGCTAAATACGAATATGATGGGGAAAAATCGCCTGTTATTTTCGGATCTGCACTTTGTGCACTTAATGGTACTGAAAAAGAATTAGGAGAAGATAAAGTTGTATAACTTTTGAAGATTATGGATGAATAAATCCCTATCCCATAAAGATTAACTGATAAACCTTTCTTAATGTCAATTGAAGGCACTTATTAAATAGCAGGAAGAGGTACTGTAGTAACAGGAACTGTAGATGCTGGAAAAGTTAAAGTTGGAGAAGATGTTGATGTGGCTGGATATGCTCCTAAAATTAACAGAACTACTATTACTGGTATTGAAACTTTTAGGAAATAGCTCGATTATGCAGAGGCTGGTGATAATGTAGGTCTTTTACTAAGAGGAGCTACCAGAGATGATGTTAGAAGAGGTATATTTTTTTTAATAAAAATATAATTAAATATTTTTTTGTTAATTTAGGATAAGTTTTATGTAAACCAAACAGTTAATAAATCTATAAGAAAGTTGAAGTAAATTTATATATATTAACCGATGCTGAAGGTGGTAGAAAAAAACCATTCCCAAATGGATATAGACCTTAATTTTATTTAAGAACTGCTGATGTGGCTGCTGAAATTTAATTACACGGGGAAAATAAGGTAGGTATGCCTGGAGATAATATAACTGCGGATTTAGATCTACATTTCCCTTTACCAGTTAGTGTTGGGTAAAGATTTGCTTTAAGGGAAGGAGGAAAAACTATTGCAGCAGGTATTGTTACTAAGACTCATGCTATGAAAGATGAAACAGCAGAAGCAGGTAAAGATGCTGCAAAAGATGGTAAAAAAGATGCTGCAACAGCTAAAAAAGATGATAAAAAGCCAGCAGCAGCTGCTGCTGCTAAACCAGCTGCTGGTAAACCTGCTGAAAAGAAGAAATGAGGGGGACTTATTTTTTATTTTTTTAGTTTTCTTTATTATTTTTTTTTTTTGTTAATTGATATTTAATTAATTTCTATTTTATTTTAAATATTATTTTTTATTTTATTAATAAAAAACAAAAAAATATATTTTATTAATTTTAAATTAATTAATTATAATTAGTTTTTTTTTATTATCCTATTATCCTTTTAATTATGGGAATATAATTAAAAATAATAAAAAAATATATTTTTTTTTTTATTAATATAAAAAGCTCAATAAAATAATTTTATCACTTTTTTTTTTTTTTTTTTTTGTTAAATCAGGTTTAACGTTTATTTAAATCTTTATATTTTAACAAAAAAATACTTTTATATGGAGATAATACTCCCGATAATTTATATGATAATAGTTTAAATATAATCCAAATTAAAAAAAAAAGATTAGGAAACTATTTTAAGTATTAAATTCATATTCTTATGATATATATATTGAGAAAGATTAAAATAAAAATAAGTCTAATAACGGATTTTTATAAAAAAATATATATTCTAGATTTAACCTGATTTAGGATTAGAGAGAGAAAGCTTAATACATTTTGAAAATTAATAATGATAATTATAAAAACTTATAAAAAAGTACATAAATATAAAATTTGGTTTAACTATTAGCAAAAAAATAAAGGGAATACTATATAATAAATATTATCTATATAATTAAATTCAAATTATCTAATAGTGTTTTTTAATTAAAATCTTAAAACAAAAAAATATATTAATTAGTATATATTTTATTGACTTTTTTTATATTTTTATGACCTCTTTAGATATTTTTTACATAGTACTTTATAGATAAATATTAATCATATTAAAATAAAAATAGCTTTTGTTTTTTGTTTTTATCGATTCTTTCTTAATATTTTAAACGAGATTTATTTTTAATAATAATAATAATAATAAAAAAAAAACGAAGTCTGATTTATTTAATAATAAAAATAAAAAAAAATCTTATATTTTTAATTGGATTTTATAAGTATAGTTAAGATTTTAAGTAAAATTATATTGATATTATTTTCTCCATAATATGATAAAAGAGTTAAAAAATTATTTTTTAAAATATTCCCGCCGCCTTATTTTAATATTGATTGATTTGTTATATATTTTTCGTGATCCATTTATTATTATATGATATTCAATATGTCCTTATAAACTAGAAAGAAAATTAAAAAGGAGTTATATTACTTATCTAAAGCAAATTTATTGTGACTATAAATTATAAGAAGATTAAAGTGGTATTTTTTTTATTTATTTTTTCCAGGTTTTTTGTATTGTAAGAGGAAAAATAATATAAAGATAAATTAGATATTTGGTTTTATAAAAATACTCTTATAATTTAAGGGGATAAGAATTAATATATAGAATTTGATAAAAAAATACTGTAAAATTATAATGATTTTTTCCAAATAAAACTATTAATAAATTATTCATGATTAACAAAGAAATACTTATAAGTATAATTTATATAATATTTTAAGAATCCTGATTATATTGAAAATAATATCTTCTGTTTTATTTAATATGGTAATATCAAGATTTATTATAATCGAAATAAATTTGTACTATAAATAACTATTTCGTCGTAGAAATATCCTTATTTTTTTATTATTTAAAAGTATAAATTATTCTACTTTATAAATAGATAGGTATTTTATAAAAGTGGATTTTTGAACTGTGTTTAAAATTATTAAGAATAAATAAATTATTTTAGAAAAAGACTTAAATTACTATTAATTCGAACTAAAAATTTTATAGTGAAAAACTGCAATTTTTTAAAGATGATTATTTTTTTATTTAAATACAAATCAAGAATTTATTTAAAAAAAAATAAGAATAGAGTGTCAAAATATTCCAATATGATAAAATAATAAGTTTATTATTAGAAATGTGATATTTATTCAATAAAGATTATAAAAATTATAAGAATTTCTTCCTTATTAAGATTTAATTCTTTAATTAAAAAATTATTACTAAATAAATAAATAAGCTCATTGTATTTAAAAGATAAAATATAAATTATAAATATTAAAAAATGATAATATTAAGGAATAAAATAAGTTGATAATAAAATAGAAGTATAAATTATGTTAATTCGGAATAATCAAAATAAGATAATTTTTCATTAAACAAAATAAACTAAAATAATATAAAAAATAATTAAATAAAAAAAAATATATATGATAAATATTCTTATTAAATAAAAAAATACTTAACTTTATTATGAAAAATTAATAGATAATATTTAATATTCAATAACTAAATAGTAATAATAAAATAAAAAATAATAATAAAGATTAAAAAATGAATTTTATTTTATAAGAAAATCTTTTATTCTCTTATCCTCTTTTTACTATTATTAAAATATAAATAAAACTTAATAATATCATTTATATTTAAATAATAAGTTTTTTTATTGTAATAATAATTTTGATTAGATAGTAGTTTAATATTAAATATAATGAATTCAATTTTAGATTATATGTAAATAAATAATATACACGATTAAAGGATTATAGTCTTTTTTAAAGTTAGAAAACAAAAAAAATAAAAAAATACTTTTAATATATAATAACCAGAAGATTTCTTTGAAAGAAAATTTTGTAACTTTAATCAATTTAATAGGGTTAATATAAAATTAAATAGAGAACTTTTTTTAAATAACGATAAAAATAAATAAACATATATATTAAATTATATATAATTAAATAAATATATATATATAAAAATAAATTAGTATAAAAATAAAATAAAACTAAAACTAAAAAAAAACAAAAACATGAAAATAAGTAATAAATTAAACACTGAATAAACAATCAAAAACCTACTTCCTGATCTCGATCCATATCTTAAATCTTAACTAGAAAGCCTAAAAATAGTACATCCTACATATGCATAAGAATAACTTTTTTCTTTAAAAAATGAAAGGAAACATTTAGTATTAAAAAGCGGATAATAATCAGGAAAGACATTAGGTTTTTTAATTTTATAAATAAATGATTTGCTATTAAAGACAAAATAATAAGAATAAGACGAAGAAACTTAAAAAATAGCAATTTATATATGTGCATCAAAAGATATGGTTTAAAAAACAAGCGAAATTGCACAAAATATATTATTAAAAACTAAAAAAATTCAAGTTTTATAATTATAAAATTTCGAAGAAGGATAAATATCTCTTTTCCCCAATAAAAATTATATGATAATATGTACAATTTCTAATTTTTTAAGATTTGCGAAATACACGAAATTTCATGTCTAAAAATATGTCAATTTTACTTTTGATGATATTGATTTTATGCTTTCATTTTAATATAAAAACGATTTAGAAAATTTCCGGTTCTTTTTCTAAAATTATTTGCCTTAAGTTAATGTATATTGGGGCTTGTAAGATGAAATAAATTAAGATTTTAAAGATTTCAAAAAGACTTTTTTGACTAAAAGTGCTATTATAGATATTGAGGAAGAAGAAGAAGACTTATAAGAGTCAGAAAAAGCAAATATTGGATAAAACTACTTAGAAAAAGTGCAATAATATTACTCTGTAGGTGACTAAGTGCACTAATATATACTCCTATATACTTTATTCAAGCTAAATTTATTATAAGGAAAAAATATTATCCTATGTAAAGACTTAAATGAGGTTTATAGGGTAAATCTATTCCTTGAAAGAATAGGAGTAAGTGAATTTTAGCCATATAATCATGAAAATCCTGTGAATTTAAGGTATTATTTAGTAAGTATTTTCAATACAGGACTTATTAAAACTCTAGTATGCACTCCTTAAGTTTTCGTGGACTTAAAAAAAGATTTCGAAGAGCAAAAAAGGAAAACTAAGACACTAAAAGGGATAAAAAATATAATTATTTTAGACTTTTTTGGACTAAGTAAAAATTTATACGAAGAAGTTTGTAAGAAATTAAAAGTAAATTAAGGAAATGTATTTTTATCGATTTTAAATGAAGAAAAAAATTTAGAATTTTTAATGGAAATTATTGAAGATTAAAAAAATTAATTTTAAAAAAGTAATTTTAAAGAATTTCCATTAAAAAGGCATGAAATGGAATCTTTTAGGTAAAAAATATAAATATATATATATAATAATATATATTTATATATTTATATATTTATATATTTAGATATAGAGTAAATAATGTATATGAAAATATTACTAAGAAATAATTAGAAAATTATAAATTAGTTGATTTTAAAAAAAAGATGTTAAAAAGTCCTGATTTAAAAGAATATTATGAGAAAAATATAAATGAGAAATAACTTATTATAGAAAGTATATAAAAGCTTTAACATTAAATAAAGAAAAATGAAGTTAGATGTGATGGAGAATGTCCTGAATATTTACTTCCTTTGTTTTTGAAAGATAAAATAAGTATGGCTTAAGAAAAAATAAAGAAGATACTTGTCTATCAGCCTGAAAACAGTAATCTTTAGAAAAAGGTTAGACTTAATAAATATGTTTATATTAATGAAAGTAAAGAAAATGATGGGGAAACAGATCCTTCGAGACTTAAAATTATTTCAAGAAGAAAATAATGGAAATTAAGACATGGTTTTAAATTAAGAAAGATTAATAAAAGATTAGAAAAGAAAGGTATATTTTAATCTTGATAAATTAATTTATTATATATATATATATATATGTAAATTATTATATATATATATATAGATATGTAAATTTAATTTTTTATATTTATATATATAATACATAAGAATATATAAATATTTTTTTTATTTTCAATGTAAATTTTTAATTAATATTTTTTGTTTTTTTTTAAATAAAATATTTTAGTTTTTTTTTATTTAAATTTTATTGTTTTTCTAATCTTCTTTTATTTTATATTATTATTAAAATTACTCTATTTATTAATATAATTATTCATTTTTTTCATATAATTAATTATTTATTATTTATTCACTTTCTTTTTAGTCTTTTTTTATTTCTTCTTAAAAATTTCTTTCTTATATATTATTTTAATCGCAATTTTAATTGATTTCTCTTTATATTTTTAATGCTTCTACTTAAAAAAGTCTTTATTTTGTTTAAATTTTATTGTTTTTAAATATTTTATCAACAAAAATCACTTCTTTTTCACTATTTTTTATTTCTTTTTCTAAATTTTATGTCTTTTAGTGGATTTCTTTAAGTTAATTTGTAATTTTTTAAAGCTTTTCCAATTTTTAATTTTAGATTTCTTATAAAGCTATTTAAGGGGTTTTTTTTTCGAGTTTTTTTTACTCAATCTATTTCGTTTCTTGCATTTTGTTTTTTTCTTAATTTTCTTTTATCTATTCTTCTTCTTTTTTTTATTAATTTAATAAATTTTCATATTCTTCTTTTAAATTTTATAAGTTTCCTTTATTTTCAGGTAAAAAGTCTAAATATTATTCCTCTAAAATACTAATTTCTTCCAAAAAAATATGAGAATTTTAATCTTATTTACTCTAATTTATAGAAGAATCATATCTAAAACTATCTTTTAATAAATCTCTTTCTATTTAAGTATATTAAAGTTAACTTTTTTATTATTCTTCTATTTACCCTTAAGGATTATTGTTTTAATTGTTCCAATAATTTAAATAAAACTATATGTATTATTGACTTTCTAAGGCATTTAGAAAATTTAGATTATAGTTATTGTAAATCATTTGGCAATTATTTTGTTAAGTTTTTAATATTTTTGGCATATTTTTTATAGCTTGATCAATTTAAGACATTTCTTTTATAAATTAATTATATAATATTAATATTGAAAATGATATTAATAATTTTATTAAAGAAAATATATAAAATACAAGAATATATAAGAATTATATAAATTTAAATATATAAAATATTATATATATATATAAATATATTTAAAAATATATATATATATATATATATTTATATTTTTTTTAATTTAATTATATATATTTATTATTATTATTTTTTTAAAACTTTTTAGTCTATATAATTTATATATAAAGTTTAATTTTTTTTAGCTTATAAAAAATGGTTTTATTTACAATATAAAAATATTTTCTTTTTTAACAAAAAAATTGATTATTAACTAAATATATTTTTTTTATTAAAATTTATAAATATAATATTATTTTTTATTTTATTTTTTTAGTAAATTTATTATTTTTATAATTCTTTAGAGTAAGTAAAAATTATATATTAATTGCAATTTTAGTTTAAAATATTTATACAAAGAAAAGAAATAAATAAGATAATTAGATTTTATATTATATAAACATTATATATGAGAAAACAAATATAATATCTTAATATATATTTCTATAATAATAATTAATTATATAAGAAAAATAAAAGATATATAATAACGCCTTACTACATATCTGTTTTAAATATAATTAAGATAATTTTTTAGCTATTTTTATATTCTTTTAAATTTAATTCAAAATATTAAAAAAAGTAAATTATATTTTCTAAATTTATAAGTATTCTTTTTTTAATCCTTATAAGAAAAGGTATTTATTTATGTTTATATTTTGTATTTTTTTAATTTTTAAAAAATAATATTAAATATATTTCTTTTATAAATTTCAAAATTTAAAAGCTTTTCTCTATTTTCTCAATATCTATTATTATATCTAAAAAAAATCATTTTAATTTTAATAAATAGAAAATATAAATAAATTTACCTTCTATTATTATAATTGTTTTTAAATTTTTATATTTTTTTATGTTTAGGAGGTTCATTAATAAGACTATCCTCACTATCAATAACTGCTACAGTCATTTCTTGATTTTCAACAGAACAACCTTTTTTTAAACAAAACAAAAATTACAAACATATCAAAATATATAAATATATTACCATCTAATTATTAAATAGCTTTTTAAACATCCTATTAATTAAAAAACTCTACGATTGCTTTTTCTTGACTTCTTCCATGTTCATCCCAGTAAATTTTTGATTTTTTGATTTCCCCAATTTCAGAAAATAATTCCTTTTTTATTTTAATTTAAAAAAAAGATTTAGGTTTACATTTAATTCTTCATCATTTACAGAAAAATGCAAATTAGTAACTTTTACAATATTTTAAGAATTTAATGCAATATTTTTATTGCGGCTTTTTTAATTTCTGAAAGAATTATTATTTTAAAATTAATTAGACCTATTGATATTTTATTTCGCATCATTCCAATTATCTTATTCCTTTTTAATATATTTTATTATATTTTAAAACATTAAAAAGAAAAGTTTTTAGTACATCGACATATTAATTATTTTCAAATTTATTGTAATAAAAGTTATTATTATTATAATTATTATTATTATTATTATTATTATTATTATTATTATTATTATTATTATTATTATTATATCTAAATTACTATTTATTCCTTTTCCTATATTAATTATTTTGATAATTTTTATTGTTTTTAAAATTTTATTTATTTGTAGTTTTTTAATCTTTTTTAATTAATTCATCTAAACTTATTGTATCTGCCATTTTTTTTATTTTTTATTTTAAATTTAAATTTATTTTTTAATTGTATTTATATTATAAACATTATACAAAAGTTGAATATTTAAATCAAATAGAAACAAAATATTATAAAATTAATATTATTTTTATAAAAATAAAAATCATATATAACAAATAAATATTATAAATTTAATATAATTTTTTAAAAAATAATAAATTTTTTTTTTAAATGAAATAAAATATTACAATATTTATATAAAATATTAAATATATTTTTTATCAATATTAATTATTAGGAATTATTTCTTAATAAATTAGAAACTTAAAATTTAATATTTTCAATAACATATATAAATACTAATATTATTTCTCACATAATTTTATATTCGTAACTACCTACATTTGCATTGCAACTAGGGCAAGTATGAATAACATCCTAGCAATTGTTACAACAAAAAGGTATACAACAACATCCTGTTGTAAATAGTAAATAAAACAGCATATATAAGTATGTTAACCAGCTTTATATTATGTCATTGTTGTAATTTCTTTAGTACAAGCAGGGCATTTTATTCTTGTTTAATGTTAAATTCCGTTTGCTGTTTAAGGAATATTAGCTTATACCTTTTTAATATATATAATTATATTTTGTTTTTTTTACATTTTGGACTACAACTTGTACAGGTTATAAAGGTTATTATAACTTTTATTGTTAAACTTATTAATTTTACATAGTCACGGGTTATTATTAATATGTAATAATTGGTTATTCTTATAATTATTACTAAGAATATTAAAATTGAGGCGGCATATTTTATCCAACTGGTTGAGGAAATTGAGGATTATAATTTTAGTTTGGAGGATAATACTATACGGGTTATTATTAAGGATAATTATTGTTTTATAAATTCATTTTTTTAATATATATTAATTATTATAGTTATTTATTATTTATTGATATTTATTAATTTTTTGAAATATAAATATTAGAAATAATTAATTTCTGTAGGTTAATATATTTTTTATTATTTATTTAAAAAGAAATTTATATCAAAATCTATAATAAATTTTATTATAGATTTTGGATATTTTTTATTTTTTTTCTTTCTTTTATATTTTTATTTAAATTAATATTTTAAATGGAATTTTATTTAAAATATTATATATTGAACATATTTTTATATAATTTTTATATTAATAAATTTCAATTATTCATATTTAAAATAATATATTTATTTTATATTAATCAGATATATATTTATATATATATATATAAATTGTTATTTTTAAATATAAATATTAGATAAATATTCACATTATTAATAATATCAATATATATATATATTTTTTTTTTATAATTTTAACAAAAAAAAAAAAAATTAAAATTATTTAATTTATTAATAAATATAATATATTTCATAATAGTCATACTTATTATATCTATTTTAATTATTTTTGTAACATAATTTTTATATTATTTTCATAAAAATATATTTTTTTCCTTTATTAAAAGTAAAAATGCACTATATAATTTTGAATATTTTATAATAAAATATATCCACAAACATTCAGAAGTAAAAAGTAATAAAAATAACTACATTAATATTTATTTGATATAAATTTATTTTAAATAAAAGTTTATTATTATATTTTATCATTTAAACTTGTTTAAATGTCCATTTTTATTCAATTATTAATATAATTATTTTTATATATATTATATATTTCTTATAAAATGAATTAATTTATTTATTATTAAGTTTTTTTATTAAAATAATTAACATTATATAGGTTAAATTAATCCCTATAAGTAAATAAATTTTAATAAATAATTAAGTTTAGTATATGATTTAATTTTATTAATCTATATACATTATTATAAAATATAGGTGTTTTTATTAAAAATAATTAAAAATAAAAATTGTAAAAAATAATTAAAAAAAATTTTGAAAAAAATTTTTTTTTTTTTTTTAAATAAACAGTTTTTTTTTTTCACATAAATTTTTTTTATATTAATTTTTATTTAAATGATTTATGTAATTTTAAAGCTTAATTTAATTCATCGTGTAAATTTTTTAAATTTGCGAAATCAGATTCAATTAAATTACTTTGTTTTTATCCATCTTTTAATAATTATTTATTTATATATGAATGTATATATGTATATTTTTATTTAATACTATTTAATAAGTCTAATTATAATAATATTTTAGGTTTTGTTTCCTATTCGTTTGATCTAGAAGCTATTTATATATCAAATCTCCATTTAATATTATCATATTATGGCTCATTATCCCTTTCTAGTAAAACTAATGTTTTTCGTAAGTGTTTTTCACTTTCTTTTAATCTCTTATTTTTAAAATAATCTAATAATTATAAAATTAGAATTTTTACATTAGTAAATATTTGCTTTTTTTAATCACTTAAAATTAATATTTCTAAATGAGCCTTATATTCTCTTTCTCCAATGTTAAATTTTGAAAAAAATGAAACTAATTTTAAAAATGTTTTAAATAAAATTTCAGTTTTTTCTTCTTCAATTTCAAGAATTTCTATTTTATTCATTTATTTATATAATTATTATATATTAATAATTATACCATTAAGTTTTGTTTATATATCACTTTTTGCTATATAACTTATTGTATAATTTAATGATTTTTCAAATGCTATTTTTTTTAAGATAAAAGAAATTAATTATTTGTTTGATTTCGAATTAAATTTATATATAAAACCTTCTTAATCAAGTTAATCTATTGTTTTAACTTCATCTATAAATTACTAATTTATAATCATTTTTTAATAGTTTAATTATATAATTGATATAATTAAATAATTTATTAAAATAAAATAAAAATATACAAATTCTTAATCAAAAAAATATACATTTACAAATACTAATAGATTAACATATAAATAACATAAACATATATATATAAATATAGTAAGAGATATAATTATAAATAAAATTTAAATAATAAATACATATACATATACATATAAATATATATATATATATATATATATATATATATATATATA